CAAACAAACAAACAAACAAACCATCCAGAGCTGTTTGATCTATCCTTATTTACTTGAATAAAAAAACAAAATCTTTCTGTTTTCTTACTCACCATAGCATGATACTGTAAACCAAGTTTTTTGACATCAAGAACGGCCTTTAAAGAAAGTAGTATAATAGCTGAGAATCGCGGAAATCCAAGGTCCAGTGTTTTTGTCATTATAGAGAAATATACAGTGCGTTTTCTGGGATTGAGCCAACAATTTTACGACTATTTCGTTATAAGTAGTTAATTTAAGTTTTTCACACATCGCTTTTCTAGCGATGTTTCATTCTACACGTGTGTTGCTTTCAAGTTTAGAGAAAGCTTCAGTTACATTAGTGTGTACAATTTTTATGGTTACGTTTGTCTGTACTTGTTTTTGTAACTTGATCACACGAAACTAAAGACCTGAAACGTTTACACACAATACAAAATGTCAAGGGAGGTTGAATTGTACAAAGGAAAGTAAAACAAAGCCTATATTGTAAGAACAAGTTTGAAGACATGTTTAGAACCTCATAATTCCTGGTTGGTTATCTCTTGAGTTAAAAAAAAAATCAATCTTAATAACAGATTCTTACTCGGGCTTATTTCGATAATTACATGTTTTCTTCCTCAAATACAAATTGGTAGAAATAAACCAAACTTGCCCTTGGAAGTTTCAGTGAGGTGTCCTGCCAAATCCTATCTCTTTGGTTGCAATGCTCATGCGCTGGACAGAAAGGAGTTTCAGCGTTCAGTGTTCCACGATAACAACGAAAGTCTTGACAATTCTAATTAAATATGTTATCTTTCCTTCACTCCTTTTGGGCAACATTGATCAAGTCGATATATTAATTAGTTTTCGTTTTGTTTTTGAAATAAGAAAGAGCAGGGATAGTAGAATTAGGTTGGGATTGGCGGCAGAACACAAATTCTTATGAATTCGATATTTACAAGAAAAACTGAGTTTCTAGTTTAAAATCAGTAATATCGGCTGTATTACAACATGTTTAAAATTGTTTTCTTTAAAACAAAACCTTGCAGATCATAAATAATAGCTTATTTTGAATCATTTCTGACTGCGCAGCGGTAAGTCTACGGATTTACAACGCTACAATCAGGGGCTCGATTCACCCCGGCGGACACAGCAGATAGCTCGATGTGGCTTTGCTATAAAGAAAAAAGAACAAAATATGCCAACGTGTGTGTGTTGAGGGGGGGGGGCGTTGATCAACAAGCTATCAATGGGCGAAATGAATCTAATTCGTAATGACAATTAAAAATAATAAAAAAATATGAAAAAAATTGCAAAGTGAACTCTAAGAGTTAAATGGCCAGATGGTCAGGGTGCTAGATTCGCAATCTGAGGGTCGCGGGTTTGAACCCCATCCCACCAAGTATGCTTGCCCTTTTAGCCGTGGGGGCGTTATAATGTGACGAACAATTCCACTAATCGT